AGTAGGTCACAGAGGGGCAGGACCAACAAATCCGCCCCGCTCGCTGCCGTGGCAGCGAGAGGGGCAGAAAGCACCCAAAGCCCTCTTCAGAACCGGAATGGGAGCTCAGCAGTCTCGTGCCGCGGGCAGGGAGCCCCTAGCGACCCCCCCGGGCGGTAGTCCTCACGCCACGGGATGGGCCCCAGGGAGCACAGCCTGCGTACTCCCGCGGTCGGTGCCAGAAACAATCCTCGCTGCAGGAGGCCCCGCTGTTGTCCTCAGTCTGAAACACAAGAGAAAACACCAAGTTAAACAAGTCAACCATATTTTGACCTTAAGGAAAAAAAAAAAAAAAAAAAAGCCTCGTGCTGTTTCTCACACCCAGCAGCACCAGACTAAGGACCACGGTCTCCACATACTTACTCGAGCGCCAGCAGCACCCCCAAACCAAAAAGCCTCGCAAAGAAGGTAGAGCGAGAACCAGACTAAAAAAAGCACCACGTGGGTGCAAAAAAGCCAGGCAGGTGCTGCCCCAAAGCAGGCGGCGAGAGCCTGGCAGTAGGCACCCTGGACTGGCTGTAAAAAAAGGGGAGCCCGGCAAACTCACACTAGCCCCAAAAAGAACAAAAAAGACCCGAGCCTAAAAGCAGGAGCCCTCAGCAGCAGCTCCAAAAAAAAAAAAAAAAAAAAACAGGGCAAAGGAGCCCTCAGCAGCAGCTCCAAAAAAAAAAAAAAAAAAAAAAGCAGGGCAAAGGAGCCCTCAGCAGCAGCTCCAAAAAAAAAAAAAAAAAAAAAAACAGGGCAAAGGAGCCCTCAGCAGCAGCTCCAAAAAAAAAAAAAAAAACAAAACAGGGCAAAGGAGCCCTCAGCAGCAGCTCCAAAAAAAAGAGCAGGGCGAAGGAGCCCTAGAGCACCTCCAAAAAAAAAGAGCAGGGCGAAGGAGCCCTAGAGCAGCTCCAAAAAAAAGAGCAGGGCGAAGGAGCCCTACAGCAGCTCCAAAAAAAAGAGCAGGGCGAAGGAGCCCTAGAGCAGCTCCAAAAAAAAAGAGCAGGGAGACCCCCCCAAAAAAAAAGAGCAGGCCAGGAGCAGCCTTCCAAAAAGGCAGCGTGCGAGCGAGGCAGCCTCCTGGTACAGGGAGCAGGAAGAACCCCCTGTAGCTCCCGGTGGCCTCCGACAGGGTTTAAGAGGCTTGGAGGGAGGGCCCTGCCCTGGGCTCCTAAGTGGGCGCAGCTGTGCCCGGCAGCCCTGCGGCAGGTGGAGGTGATGGGTTCCTGAGCGCGGCTGGGCCGCCTGATGGCCCTCCCGGAGCCCTGACAGCTACCCCAAACCTATGTGAGGCTTCGCATAGCCGGACCGTTCGGACTTTGCGCAGCTTGAACAGATCCTTATGAGATATAATGCCGGTGCGTGAGACGCTCAGAGTCGGACACGTTTTCTCAGGGGAATGGACGGCGTCTAATCCAGACGCCGCAGATCCCAAGCAGTTCAATTCTTTGCTTCCCATTCTGATTACGTTCCCACCTTTTTAAACGCGGGGGAAAAAAAAACCAACGCTGCTGTTTGTTGCTGTGTTACACAGACTCGAGGAAGGTTTCGTTGCTTTTGAGCTACGTTCATCTTTGTGACGGCGTCGAGGCAAATACTTTCGTTACTTCCCAACAGTAATTCTTTCCTTCCGAACAGATAGAACAAAGTAAAGATGAGCAACGATCAGTCGCCAAGGAATGAATCGGAACGCTCTTGCGCGCGCCGATAGGGTAGCCCGGTCCGAAGCAGCTGATAGTCCTCCTAAAAAGAGACGCTTTGAAGTAAACCAGGACAGAAAAGCAAGGCGAGCGAGGCTAAGGATAACCGCGATTCGGACTGCCGTCTCGTCACAGGGAAGAGGTACTCATGGGCCGGTTTCCTCAGCAGACTTTCACCGTATTTCTAGACAGCGCATGTGTGCACGCACGTTTTCCTGTGAGAGCGGTGAGCGATAGCGATCTCCTCGGAAGCTATGCTTCCACGTGTCCGGAACCGCGGAGCAAATGTTCCCGACAGCGACAACGTGGCTTGTGCCTGGAGTCCGCGGGCCTCCGTGCGTCTGCTCGCGACAGTGTCGGAATTCGTCCGTGTTGCGCCGCTTGCGCCGTATTCAAAACCGTGCCCCCCCTATACGCTCGTTGTCCTGGAGCTGCTGAAATTCCAGCGAGGCTTCGCCTGCGGCAATGTCATTCGGAACTGTCTGCGGTTCCCGTGCCATTTTACTGCCGGGTAAAATGACAGAGTTCAGTATTCCACTTTGCACATCCTTTCGGCTACGTAAGAAGAGGTGATCGTACAACGCTTTGTTTGTACCCTGATTTACAACCGTAAATGACATGTAGCAAAATCTATGGCCAGTGACATGTCAATGGCACCTGGAAATGTAAACTCGTGCTACGGGAAGAAGCTCTTATAACTGGAACGACACCCAGTCCGCTTGAAACAGGCGAGGCTGTCAGGGTTCATTTGGCTCAACCGCAGCACTTGGGTTCAAAAGTACTGTGCTCTTAGGACAACTTTTCATAGGTTCAGTACAGATGATTTCCCATAAATCCTCGGAGAAGGGGAAGCGCACGCCACATAGATAGGTCACCTGGCATTCCAGAAAAGTCAGCGTTACAGCTAGATCAGAACGGGATATCTCGGTCTGCGGATGTATTTTGCCATTCTGTTCTTGACACGGACGAGTCCGAGAGCTGAACTCTCCTGCCGTAAACAGGGCTCCGACATGTACTCGCGTATTCTTTCTTTAAGCGCAGAACCTTTCTTTCACATTGTCTTGGTCCGTCTACTTACGCTGAACGGTCTCCCAAATCTCCCCTGCCTCAACACTTTCTCCCGCTATGAGGCACCGTACCCCACAGAAGCCTTTCCTTACGTCTTTAGCCGACTGTCGACTGTCACATCCCTCCCCTTTCACGTCACCGGTCAGCTCCATCGTGCGGTTTGCCTTTTTCCCGACTAATACGCGACCGCACCGAGACCGGCAGCCGACTATTTCCCGGCTGCCCAGATCATTCGGTCGGAGTAGCAGTCAGCGGTTGCTTCCAGAGACTATTTTCCTGGGGCAAATTGCTTGTTACGGTACCTTATCGTACAGCATCGTACGTAGGAGTGTGTTAGTAGCTTGCGGTACTGTCGCAGACTGGACTGGATCGACCTATGTCCGTGACAGGGGCGACAGACCTCTGCCCTCCCCCCCCCCCCCAGTCCCCCAAACATGGGAAGGAAGGAAGGGAGGAAAAGAACAGCGGCAGCAATCTCAGGAAGACAACTTATTTTACTAGAATATCGGAATGCAAGATAACACGCACAATACATATACAATTCAAATGACGTTGAGATGAATACATCAGACGAGATGAGAGAGAGAGTTCCCGGGACCGAGCCAAACCTGAAAAGCTTGGAACGGCTAGGAAAGCACCCTCCGGCACCCAGACAAGACCCCCTCGGATCCCCTCCCCTCCATCCTCCCCCATCCTCAATCCCCCCCCCCCTCCCCTGGCCGGGGAGGGCGGCAAGAGAGCGCCGCCTCCACCCGGAAGGGCCGGAGCGCCAGATCCCGTTCCTTCTGTAACGTACAGGGATAGGTACCTGGAATCGGGGCATTAACGCTTTAATACCCCGTACGCTACGTGATGTTTTGCTGTGGAATACAGAAACCCAAAAACAAAACCACATAGAACCGTGACAGGTAATGACAGGAATGAGAGGGTGATTGGACTGCATGATCTTGCAGGTCGTTTCCAACCTCCCGATTCTGTGATGCTGCGATCCTATGTAGTAGATGGCTCCTTTAGCAACCTTTTCAGGGCGCAGTGCGTGGAGCTTACTTATTAATTATTGCGGTGGCTTGCTGTTAGGTTGTCTCTTTCGGCTGCTTTCAGAGCGGGAGGGAGCGAGCGAGACTTTTCACATTCCCTAATAATTTCTCTGCAAACTAATGCAGATCTGTCGTACAAGCGTATTTTGAGGCCGTCTCCCGCCTTTCAGACTTCAAGCTCCTGAATCGCACGGCGCAAGGTAACGAAAAATTAAATCTTGTCAGGTTCGTCGTGCCCGTGGAGCACATTGTAATATGCTGAGACTTCATTTTGAGCCGTCTCCCTTCTTAGAGGCTATTTGCGACTCGAATTTGGCGTTCCTGCCAATTAGCGTGCGCCGGCTGCTACCGGCCAAAGAACACCTGTGCTGCTACTAGGGTACCTACAAAGTCGGGCCTGATTCTTCTCTGTCATCCTCGTGTAAATCAGCTTGACGTCTGCTCAAATCAAAGCGAGGCGCTGCATAAGCCAGGGACAGAGTCTCAAACGAAAATTGGGTCCGTACGATTCCCGGACGGTGGATTCCGGCAAGCAAGATTGGGTCAAGCTAGTCTCATTAAGCATTGCTGTGCAGCTGCTCCTAAACAATGGGGGGATATCAGCAGGTACCCCTCGCGTTGCGAGAGTCTAACGGAGTGCTGCTGAGACCATTAAGGGCCCGGAGCGGCTCCTGCTCGAGGAACGCCTCAGAAACTCCGGTCTGCTCAGCCGGCGAAAAACAAATTTGAGAAAGGATCTGATCACTGTTCACAAAAACCTACAGGGAACTGAGAGGCAAACGGATGAGGCTGGGTTCTTCCCAGCGGTACGTGACGTGCGGAATCAGACTCCGCAATCCGATTAAGGTTGGGAAACAGGTATGTTTATTAGTGTACCTGCATACAGGCGTGCAGGTGCTCCCCCTCGCTCGCTCACAAAAGCGGCGATGACACGGTTACAGACGTAAGTACATATGTTTATTACACTCCGAGAAAATAAAAACACAGCAGAATTGCAATAAAGACTTAGCACGCCATCCCACCCTCTTGACTACACGTTCCACAAATGTGGTGAGGCTGACAATCTCATATTAATCTATTCAGTGCGAGCGCTACGTACGCTAGCACCTCTTCCTTCACCTCTGGAAAAGATTGCGCATAGCAACGACTCTGAAACGCTCAAACCTTCGGAAAGCTTTATCTGAGAATTTTCTAATCAAGCAGAAACGAGAGGTAACATTGTACAGGTTACATAGTTCTTAAACATCATTTTTGCATCGCAAGTTTCAGAGGTCCGTTAAGGCGGCGGTCCGCCGGGGCGGGGAGCTTTCTTCGCCCTGCAGCGATGAATCCACAAAGACGCCTCCTTCTTTCCGATCGCCGCGTTAGAAGTACTCGGAACGGTCCTTCCCGCTCGGGCCCCCGGGCAGATCTGAAACAGGCCTGAAACACACAACGTCCCGGTTAAATATCGCCTACGAGTCCATCGAGGCCTCGGACCCTAGATCCAAAAACTGGATTTCGTATTTCCCAAAGCTGCTACCGTAGGCTTATTACACGCCGAGTTAGTATTTCGCTCCTCGTCCCCTAAGCGGTACGGAAGGCCTTTCCTACAATATTTGGACAGGGCTTAACCCCTCTTTGGCTCTAAGTTCTGTCCTCGTCCTCAGAAGCGCCAAAGGCAATGACCGTGGCCGGGACGGTCCAGCTTCCTAGCCCCGATATACAATCTGATCTTTAAGCGATTCGTCTTCTCTACCTGACCGCACGCCCGTGCTCCGTGTGATGCGTGCAATGCCAGCGTATCCCCAATAGCTTGCTGACCTGTTGGACCTACTTCACAATCAAACGAGTTCCCTGGCCAGAGAACGCTGTCACAGGACCCCGAAACCTCAGACATACTTCCTGCGGCAATACCGAGACCGCTTCTGCGGCTTTATCGGTCCTGCAAGGGATTGGTTCCGGCCGCCCTGAAAAGGTGTGGGGTACAACTAACATGTGACAGAAACCCCCTTCTCCAGTCAGCTCAAAAAAACTTTATTTAACAATGTTGTCCTGGAAAGTTCAGTATTCTAATCGGCTCCGCTTGTACCCCGATCCCGGTACTAGGATAGTACGTTCCTTATCTTCAAATACATACTGCGTCTTTCCCCTCCGTTAGCTTTCATTATGTACCCTTAGAACCGGTTTCAATAACATAAGAAGGGGCAGCACAACGTCGGTCAGCGTGCTCTCACCCTATCTGCATCGTTCCTTAGACTCCTCTCCTCTCTGGAATACTTCACAGGTTCTACCTCCGGTTCGAATACTTCACAGTTATCCTCTGAGAAGAAAGCCAGATCGCCAATTTCTTCGCTTTCGGCTGCGCGTTCGGCCTCCAGATCCACCCTCTCCTTGCCGATTTCCTGTGCAGTGCTACTTCTCTCGTGCCCTTTACCGTGGGTAACGGCGATGCTCTCGACAGCGACCCTCGGTCTTTCCGAACGGTACCGTGAGCGTCTGTCACCCCAAAACATAAGAAAGCTATCCGTCCCTGCATTTAAAGCTTTTGTCAAGGACAATATTTTGGCCTTCAGAGAAGTCCCCCCCAAAAGTAATGGTTTTGCTTTGAACACCGAGTCGGTAGCAGTTACAGCGTAGCCTACCTCGCTGTTTCTTTGACTCAAAAGCCTGCTTCTGTCGTGAGCGCAGGAAGCCTCGGCACCGTCCGGTGCTCGCTCCTGGAAGACCGGCCTGCAGTCGGGCGCCGCTAGCACGGAGGTCGTTCTCCGTCCGCGTTCGCCGTCTGGAAAATTGCTTCCTTCTTTCTCTTGAGTCAGGTACACTTTCTGTCGATAAACTTGACAGTCACTTAAACCGAGAAAATACAGCAGACACGTACTGCATTACACAGTTCTCTACTGTTACTGCGGCGTTCGCACGCTGCAGAAAAGTTCCCCCCGAGGATGGAGGGCTCCGGTCTCAGGCTCCCTAGCTGACCATTTCCCAGAGGGAATTGGGCAGTACTCGCAACCCCAGGTAACGCTGTCGAAGTTAACTGGGTCTTCCCCCCCTGCACTGAGGTTTTTATTTTCCTACTCAAAAGGAATTAACTTCCGACTTGTTTTTGGCAAAACCGGACAGAAAGCGCCTCCTTAAAATCCACAGCAATAAACCCCGCCTACTCATTCCTTACCTTGCTTTATCAAGCGAATCTATTTGCCACCCATAGGTGTAAAACTTCAAGAAGGCTATTTATCATCAACTCTTGTACCTAACAGTAGCTCTCGCCGTCCGATTTGTCGCCAGCAATATCGTGATATCGTAGTCGCATGCAGTCAGTCACGTGAACTCCAGGAAGTCAGCTGATACTTCTTTTTATCTTCTACGATCTCGTACGCTCAGAAGCCACGGTTTTACCCCGACTCGGCTGGCTCCTGCTTTCAACGCCTATCGGGGTTGCGACTGTGGTCCTGCCTGGCACACCCGATGCTCGCACGCCTGAGTACACCCCAGTCAGGATTTCTGAAACTTCAGGGGATACAATGTAGTCGTACTCCAGTTTACATTGAAGCGATGCTTCCCATCCGTTGGTCTCGCTGGACCTATCCCTGTTTTTCATCGTTCGCTTCAATTCTCTGCATCCAATTGCATTCGTAACTGTAACCGGAGTAACGGCTTTGAAGAACCCAGCTCATTCAAGAAGGTGCACGTTCCTACTTGTTCTCCTAACCTGCGTTTGCAGGAGACTGTTTTCATGGGTCTTCCATAACAATCAGCTTCTTTACTGTTGGCTCCTAACGACAGGAAGTCGTTACCTACAGAAAACGACTCTTGACGTACCGTGGAGTAACGAGCGCCTCCGTCTGCCGCAAAATCAACCTCTTTACCCTGCTTCCCTAGCTAAACTTAAACCAAGGGGTCTGCTAGAGTAAGCTTCCCAGATTCTCATCGCTCACCTTTTGTTACCTGAGATTTGCTCCCTTCCTTGCTTTCTTTGAGACAATTTGATTTTCCTCCGACTGCCTCCACACCTAAAAGAGAAAAAAACATTAGGCTAGCAACCGATTTCTCACAATACAATGCTAGAGAGGATTAAACTGCTAGGCATCTGTTTCATTGACGCCTGTACAAACTCTGAATGAAAAAGCCAAAGGATAAAATAGGACTGTTAAAACACAATGAGACAAAACATACAGCAATTACAACAACAATCCTGACCGAGAACACCTCAGAACATAGTCAAATATAAAAATAGCAAACAAAAAAAAAAAAAAAAAAAAAAAAAAAAACAACCAAAAACCTTACCATAACAAGACCTCAAAAACTCAGGTATAAGCAACACGATACCTTTCCCTCCTCTGCCAACCTTTAAATGAGATCGGAGAAGGGGTGGATCCTGGCTGCACCCTTTCTGCTCGCTCAGGAACATTGCGTGCACCTGAGCTGCCCTGAATTGGCCCTGCCTTCCCGCCAGGTGCTCAATCATTGCTTCGGGCGGTGACTCCGCCTTTCTGCTACACCTGCTCTTATAAAAAGGCCCTTCCCAGCCTTTGGGTGGGCTTTTTTTCCTGTTCTGGGAGTTTAGCTGGTGGTTGCTTGCTTCTGCTTGCTTCTGCTTGCTTCTGCTTGCTTCTGCTTGCTTCTGCTTGCTTCTGCTTGCTTCTGCTTGCTTCTGCTTGCTTCTGCTTGCTTCTGCTTGCTTCTGCTTGCTTCTGCTTGCTTCTGCTTGCTTCTGCTTGCTTCTGCTTGCTTCTGCTTGCTTCTGCTTGCTTCTGCTTGCTTCTGCTTGCTTCTGCTTGCTTCTGCTTGCTTCTGCTTGCTTCTGCTTGCTTCTGCTTGCTTCTGCTTGCTTCTGCTTGCTTCTGCTTGCTTCTGCTTGCTTCTGCTTGCTTCTGCTTGCTTCTGCTTGCTTCTGCTTGCTTCTGCTTGCTTCTGCTTGCTTCTGCTTGCTTCGTGTGTACTGCTTCTGGACTTGGAGAAGATGGTCCTTTGCTATCTTTCTCTAGGTTCTCTTGGGCTTTCCAGAGAAGTTAGTGATGTGCTTTCTCGAAGTCCGGTGTATCGAGCTTGCTTGGCGTGCTCTGTGACATTTTTAGGATCTTCGGCTTTGCCTGTTTGTGGTCTCTGCAGGTAAGGCTGCTCTTAGGTGTTTTGCTACTCACCTGCTTCTTCTGACTGGCGAAGGTGAGGTCCCGAATAGTACTTTTTTACCTTTTTACATGGACTCTTCTTGTACTCAGTTACTGAAGAAAATGTCAGCGTGTTCTAGTATTCTCAATGAGTGCTAGAAGCTTGCAGTGTTGTCCCTTCGATGGGTGTTGCGGTGGTTGAAGTCCCCGCAGGGATTGGTGTTTTTTGGATGTGAAGTTACTCCTATCTGTTTATAGGGGATACTGAAAAAGACACGTTTAAGTCAAGAAATGTGATGCGGCGTCTGCGTGATGAGCGGTGAACTTTAAAGCGAAGAAGGTAACGTGTTCCACTTAAGATAGTCTGACAATTTTACTGCAACTGACTGTTGCAGTAAAATGTGTGCTCTTTCATGTGTATGTTGAAAGCAGGACGCCGGGTTAGAAATTGGGATTTGGTTCTGTAGTGTAATAGTTTCTAGAGTGGTAAGCTCTTTAAAATACTGTTTGTTCTCTGTTTTTACAGAAACTGGCTGGTCTGTTGCAGTTGGTCATGTTTTCCAGGTGCTGCGAATGTCCGGATTGTTTTCTCCTCTCTCTGTTTGGCTGCGACATCCGACAGGAGGAAGATGTTTCTCTCCGGTTCTGTCTCTAGAAAAAGTGTCAAAATGGTTTTTGTTTCAAGCTTTTTTTCTTCTCTCTGGAGTCGTCTTTTTGGTTTGATTTGCTGTTGTATGGATGACTTGGCATTTCTATCGTCCCACGGTGCGCGTTTGTTCCAAATGCTGACTTTTTTTGAGAAAAGCTCTGGGGATTTTTATTTACTAGTGGTTGACTGCGGTTCCCTAATAGATAGTGGGAGGCAGCATTAGTTCCCGGCGTTTGGTTACCCTTGAAGCGTACGTAAGAGCTGAGAGCGTTGACTGTCTGAGGCGGTTTGTCGTTTGCTGTTAGCGTCGCGCTGTTGGTGCGTAGCTTCGAAAGCGAGCCTGTAAAAGGCACGTGGAGTTCTTTTAGACGCTGAGGCGTCATTTTGAGGAGCTGCACCTCCGTTCTCTGTATTGATCTGTGTTTAATGTATAGGATTAGCGAGGGGCTCTTTTGCCTTACTGACTGTCTATGTGCTCTGTGAAGTAGATGGTATGCGTGTGCAGAGTTTGGCTTGATAAAAGGTGTCGGAGAAGGTAAGCGTGTGGGGCGCGTCTTTAAGGGCTTTGTGGCACGTGAACGCAGCCGGTGGGTCAGCGATTACAGAGGATGAAGTACTAACTTTCCACGTAGCGTTTACTACTTGATTTTCCTGTTGACGTGGTCTGGTGCTACATTTCAAATGAGTAAGTTTAACCAGTTCTTACCTCGAGGCTTATCTCATGATACTGTACTCCTGATTTTTCAGCAGTAGGTAATGTACTACTGAATGCGGGATGAGGCATGAGTGTGGTAGCGGGGGTCGGTTTGTGACGATTTCTACCTGGCGTCCGTTGCGAAGAGCTGCGCGGCTACCTGCGAGCTACAGGGGTGGTGGAAGTTATCGATGACACTGGGGCAGGCTGACTGAGCCGAGTTTTCAGGAGATGCCTTTCTTGAGCGAGCGTTACGCGTACGGGGCATGCAAAGCAGGTGTCTTGCTGCTGCTCCTTTCTGAAAATGACATTGCTTCGGCTAACCTGGGTTCGCTTCAACGGCGTGGTTGTTGGATGACGGGAAGCGATGAGGGATTTGCTTTGGCAGTATTTCAGAAAAACAAATGACGTACTGCAGTAGATATCCCTGTTCAGGTGTTCGGTGGCTTTCTGGGTTTGGTTTCTAGCTGTTCACGCTGTGTAACTACAGCTAGTGAAGCTCGGGTTTTATCTCTGAGCCGAATGTTGGAGTGCATGAAGAAACCGCAATTGTATTACGGTGACTTTTTAGTATTGTTTTCCTGCGGAGGGGGATGTTGGAGCTGAAGGGAAGTGGGCGTCTGCGTTCTGAGAATACGAGGAGAAAAGAAAGGGAGGCTGCTCTATGAGAACGTCAGCCCTAGTCAAGCTTAGCGCACGATTTTCAAGCTACTTCTGGACGTAGCGCTCAGTTGAGGCTCGGACAGCGGTTTCTCTGCTTTGAAAGCTGATGCAGTACGACAGATTATTTGGAGTTTTCTGCAAAGCTCGGTTCTGAATGCTTTGAAAAAACACCCTGAAACGAGGCAAAGTTATTTCGCGCAGACCTGTTCTTAGGAGGAGATTGTGGTCTGCGTCTGGCGTCCCTTCCTTTAAACTTGTGCTTGCCGACGGAATGGAAGAAGAGGAAAGAGCGGCGCTTTTGAAGCGGGAGACGCTGACGAGGAACTCGTCCCTTGCTTATTACCGTGACGTACCGCCCCTGTGTTAAAAAAATGGCACCTTTTGGAAGTATGCAGCTGGAGTGATGTTCGTAGCGTTTCTGCCTTAGGAGAAGGTGTGGGAGGGTATTCTTTCTGCTGGCTCTAAGCGCCTTGGTTCCTTCTCTTGCCAGACGCGAGCTGTCAGCGTGCCCTGGGTGTTCCCGGGGCACGGGGCGTTAGTGCGGAGGGCTCGGCGTGGTGCCTACGGCAGTTCTTGTCCAGCTGCTCCGAGTGTCGCGTCTAATGTCACCGGTGCTTTGCGGAGGATGAGACCTGACAGAAGGATCCCCGTTAGTCTCTGATGATAGCAATAGTATCTCTAGACTTAAAATGGAACCTTTATTCCTTCACGTCAGCAGGTGACGTTACTCCTGCGGGCTTTGCTCTCCGAGAGCCGTACTTTTCCTGAGCCCGGAACAGCCGGTCAGGCGTGGATGCTGCTGCGGTTATTGCGGGGTCGTACTTGACCGATAACGTTGCTGGCGGCTCGAATCTTTGACGGTGAATTTGTCACGAAGGGTGTTTGGGTGCCGGAGTTATTTTTGTGGGGCTTTGGAAATGTGATTTGATTATGCGGTGTGTTGACCTGTCAATAAAATCTTTATTTTAAATCCCCCCCTTTCCTTGCGGTTTAGTACTTAGGATTGCCTTTGTGGCGTATTCGCTCCAGGATTATCATTCATTACCTTCCTTAAAGAGATTAGCGGTTCCTTAAAATGGGATCATGTGTGCTGCGTGAGAGCTGAGCAGGAGAGCGCGGAGGCGAGAGGTTCCCCGTAGAAATTTGAAGACTGTTTTGATGCTCGGGTTCGCTTAGAAATCGGCTGATACTGCGATGTCTTTTCCCTTGCCAGGACCCTCCTTGCCTGGCGTCGTTTCTTGAGCTCCCCAGGGATGAGATTAGTCTAAAACAACAAAGTAGCCAGATGTCTGGTTCTGAGAGCGTCCCGGAGGCCGGGCTGTGGTAGGCGCCGGCGATCGCTTGGGGCCGGAGATCAAAGATACCTGAGAATTACTTATGGGCCCGTACTATGTGTTCTTCCCATTATTAACAGTCTGCGAAAATTTGTATCCCTAATTAACCCTTTTGTTGGTTAAATTTCATTGCTGGTGCGGTTCTGCCTGTGACAACTATGCGCTCGTTCTGATACTGTCACGTAAGTCGATGCTGGTTTGAAAACAAAACCGCTAGAAATTGGGAGGATCTTATAGAAACGAATTTGAGTTGCCCGTTCCGAACACGTTTCTGATTGCTGAAAGTTAGCGTGATTTCTTTGTGCTAATGTCACGGAGTTGACCAGATCAATCTATGTCCGTGACAGAGGCGACAGGCCTCTGCCCTCCCCCCCTACCCCCCACCCCAGTCCCGCAAAAAATGGGAAGGAAGGAAGGGAGGAAAAAGAGCAGCGGCAACAATCTACAGAGGAAAACTTACTTTACTATAATATTGGAATACAAGATAACGCGATCTATATACAATGTAATTGAAATTGAGATGAATAAAACAGACGAGATGAGAGAGAGAGTTCCCGGGACCGAGTCAAA